CACAGTCCTTAACAGTCGATTTCTCCTCGTATCGGCTATTTAGTCGATTCTCTCGTTTGGCTGCTCTCGAAGCAGCACACTTGGAACTGTCTAGGTAAAATCGGCATGTTTCGCCTTAAACTACTAATAAGACTTTCTCTCCTTGTCAATTGCAGATCAAATTGATTGACACGCCTTTGGGATTCACAGGATCGGCTGGTCCTGTGTTGAAGCCAATCAGATCTCTGGATTGTTTCGGCTTGCTACGTGTCCGCCCATCGCGTCTACCATGTTTTGGCGCCGACAGAAGTAATACAAATTTGTGCAGAAAATTTCGACACAGTTTCTTTTGTTTTTTTATGCAAACCAAATAAAAATATGACATGAATATATGCATTCGATACAAGCACATTCATCTCAATCCATATACATGTCCATATTAAAAGTGCACGTACATCATCATTACTTCATCTTATATAGGAACTAATGGAAATGGACTATAATGGGACAATTGAAATAGTAGAACAATTACTTGTGTAAGTCAACGTCAGTCGAGAACAGAGCTGTTGCCCAAAGCTGTCTCACTCTAAATTGGTGTGCAACTCTATCTAGCAAGTGGAACTCGACAACATAGAAGCAGATTAGAGAGCACCTCATCCTATAGAAGTCATAGTTGCACCCACACATGTTGCTCAACTAAAAAGAAAGTACCCTCTCTCCATCGTACGGCTCCCACGACACCTGCAACATGATACTAAACCATTTCAAACCAGCATGGGAAATAAAATTTACTTACACTAGAGGCCATGAGCATGTCTAGCTCATTCGTGAACTCAATGTACACCTGTTCTAACCTCGCGTGTAGAACTCTAACCTGATGATCTCATAAGGAGGATCTGCCACAACATCATGAGTCTGACAAGCATGTCCAACTAGCTCATTGGGGATAGATTGAGCATCAGGAACCGTAGGTGCAACCTCCACATCCATATCAGGTTTAGGGATGGGAGGGTCATAGTGTGCCTGCTGACCCATTGGTGGAAAACCCCATGAGGGATGGGATCAACTAATACCTGATGCACAACCACATTCAAACTTTGGAACTGGCTCTTCATAGCCGATCTCACATAGTTTTTCCACTGATCCGCACACCCAATTGAGATCATCTTCCTTAGGATGTTGGGAGGGGAACCAAGGTGAAGTAGACCCTCAACTGCAATGCCATCATCATCATGGCAATGTAGCTCCTCCTGAGCCCTTGCAACCAACTCACTAAATGAAGGCTTCTTATTGAATAACACAGGCACACTTTGCATGTCTACAAACTCAACATATCCATAGCGATCTCTTTCCACGGTGCCTCCATGATATATGCTCACTAGGTTGTCCATCTATTTCATACACAAATCCAAACACACTTCCTTTAGTCCAAATTACGTGCCAACAACTACATACTAGGTAACTGCTTGCTTCGCAAATAACATAGTAACTAGCTCCATACATGTCCAACAACTAGGTTATCAACTTATCACTACATCACCAACTAATTAAACTAAATAGGTTATCATAACTAACTAAATAAATAGCTAACTAACTAGGTAAATAGTCTAACTAGGTTATCACCTAATCTCTAGATCACCAACTAATTAAACTAAATAGGTTATCACATTACCATCCTAAGTACATCAATAAACTAACTACTACACAACAATTCAACCTCACTAACTAACTACATTGGATATACACGAAATTTACCTGTCCAACGATGACAGTGCATGACGCGGTGGAGAGCAGGAGGAGGCGCCGGGCGCGGTGGAGGGCCACGGGATGGGGTGCCGGGGAACGGCCAACGCGTGCGGCCGGACGTGGAGAACGGGGAGGCAGCAGCGCCTGGCCCTGCGGCGCAGGGCAGGTGGGGTACGGCGGCCGGGGAGGTGGGGTAGCTGGCCAGCGCAGCGCGGTGCCCGGGGATGGGGGCACGGGGCGTGGCCGGGGCACCGAGCCAGTGGGCGGGACGGGGCGCATGGCCGGCCGGGAGCGGCAACGGTGGTCAGTGCGGGGCGTGGCAAGGAGGAACGGCGCCGGCGGCGGGAGGCGGCGGGCGAGAGAAGGAAGAGAGAAAGGAAGAAAGGAAAAGGAAAGAAGGAAGAGAGAAAGGAAACGGACCCACCTGTAAGGCCGGCTCGGCGCCAAGATCCACGGCGAAGAGCTGGCTGCCATGTCACTGCCAGCTCTGCTTTGATGCCGACGTGGCCCCAAGACTTAGGTGCCAAAAACTATGGCGCCGAGATGTGTAAGCTCGAGGCCAATTACTCCGGCGCTGAAGTGAGGGTCCAGATTTTAAAAGCATATCTCCAGGGACGTATTTATAAAAAACTTAAAAAAAAGGGCTGCGAGTCATCGTAAGGTCTTGGGCCGGCCCCGGTATTGGTATTGCTGTTGTCGTCTGCGGCGGCCGTACTTCTCACGTCGGTGGTGTTGGGCTGCAGTGCACAAAATATGCTTTCGTAACCAGTTGTGCTAACTGATGCTTTCTCTTCAGTATGCGTCAATATCTGATCTTCAGCTGGCCTTGTCTCACTGTTGACGTTGCAATTCGTTGTTTCCCATCTATCAAGTCTCTCGATAATTTCCGTTGATGTAGGCCTTTCTTCTCGGTTAAATTTGATGCAGCCTAGAGCGATATCTAGACAATACTTTATTTGTTTGCAATCTGCTTCTGATGATGCTCCTCCCGGCCTGTTTCTCCAATTGTTAATTACCTGCAAAATTAGCAAGTAGAGCATGATACTATGAAAAATCAAATGTAAAGTGACCAGTTTTCCATCCAACTATCCAAGGACCTCCATCTGTGTATAAACTGTAAAATAATAAATACAATTTCTTACACCATCCACAAACTTCTGGAAGGAAGTTGGAGAGCTGAAAGTCTGAAACTCAAAATGCTGACCTTGCTCCCAGTTATGATCTCTATGATTATTACTCCCAAATTGTATATGTCTGCCTTAGATGTTACTATTTGTCCAATTAAATATTCAGGTGCCATGTAACCACTGCATATATCAAACAAGAATATGCCCCGACTTTTGAGTTGAGAGAACTACAAAGAACTTATTTCTAGAAACAATAGGTTACAACAGGATAATGCACCTTACAGTGACCCTGAAAGAAAAGTAGCGCACGTTTGAGTCTTGTTCTGTTCGAAGAGTCTCGACAGACCAAAATCAGCAATTTTTGGCTCCATATGTTCATCGAGCAATATGTTTCCTGGTTTTAGGTCCAAGTGAATTATGGAAGCACCGAATTGGCATTGGCATTCCTCGTGAAGATATAGTAAACCACAGCAAATCCCCTTAATTATTTTGTAGCGTGTGTGCCACTCATGTCCAGAAGATTCATCTGCATTCGCAGTGAAGCCCTATGTCAATTTTCTTTTTAACTTTCAACCTCATAACAAATTATGTCCAGTATAATCTCCTGTCACCATACATGCATGTGCATGCACAAATGCGTTTATTTCATGATTTCTTATAGTTTCTAATAGGCAGCTAGGCACCCCATCTGATGATATAGTGAACAAGAAGGTAGAATATCTTACTATAACTAGTTAACAAAAAATCCACGTTAATCACAAGATATGCTAAAAAAGATAAATCCCAAATTTTCTCAGAAAATAAGAAAGATCCGACCATCAATTCGGTGCATTCTAATAATCATTGATAATAATAGTAATTGCATCTATTTTGTGTTAAGAGAAATTACCCGCAACTGACATCATAAAAAACAACTTAGAGTAGCCCAAAATATGCATCTAATATTACCTACTACCTCCGTCATGAAATATAGTACATTCTAAAAATTTTAAGATAGTTTAAAGGAACACTCAAATGATGCATGTACCCATGGATTATTTCCACTAAGGAGTTTCTCCTCAAATCACGGTTTTCTTTTAATAAATTTTGTCAAATCTAGACATAGTCCTTACATATAATGCATTATATTTCCGTACAAATTTTAGAAGTCAAAATGCACTATATTTCAGAATGGAGGAAATATATCATTATGTAACATAGCTTAACGTAAATCCTTAAATTTGTATCTAAATTTCGTAGCCTGCTATTATTATGGATAATGTGAGTTCCCTTAATAAATTACCATTTCGGCTATCATTAAAAATGAACTAAGATCTGCTCCAATGTACAACCAAGTTTTCACAACATACTTAAGACACATAAAGTGATATATACTCCCTCTGTCCCTGAAAGAATAAATTCCTAGTGACTTTAGGATAGATTAGCAAAGAAGATAAAAGGCCATGCATGCTGCCCCTCGTTAAACTGCTAAACCTTAATAGCTCTCTAGTTACCAAGAAATCTAATTAATAGTGTTGTTTGGAGTATCCAATAGCAGTACAGGAGAGAGAGGTTATGTTAAATGCAACCTACACTATGAGAGAGATTAAATGTGGATTGGTGGACCGTTCACCTCTAGAAATCGATTTTTTTAGACAATTTTTTTGGCTAGAAAGTGATCCTTTCAGGGACAGAGGGAGTAGAATGAGAAAAACTATTGATGGACTGAAAAGAAAACTTATAGACCTCGTTTGGATCCTTGAAATTGAATTTATTCTAATAAATTATAATTTAGACACATATTAATTAAGCTAAATATATTTTCCATGATTCTCTACACATTCATTCCGTGTTTCATAACAGTAGCCTAGAAATAGGCCCCGTTCGCTTCGCGGAAAAAATAAGCCGAAACACTGTTCTGGTTGATTTGTTGTGAGAGAAAAATATTGTTCCGGCTGAAAAAACAAGCTGAAAAGTACGGATTATAAGAGAAGCGAACGGGACCATAGGATGATAAACCTCATTCTCAAAGTGCCTCTCCTGAACTCCAGGCTTTAACAGCTGGTCAAGCCTCTTTATGGCAACCATCTTTCCATTTTGAAGCACTCCCTGTTTAAGATCTGTTACTATTTTTTCTTTTGATGAAACAGGATGGGCCAGAACCCCTACTTACTGAAAATATATTAAAAAGTAGAAATAAAAAATCAGCTTCAAAGTATCTAGCCAGTTTACAATAAGATGAAAATGTTATTTTCGCTCTATGGATAACCAAGACAAAACTCAAAGATCTCTTACTATTGCATATGTGGGAAGTATGGTTAACGTTACATATATTCATGAGGACAAAAAGGGTATGATTTAATCTTACCTTGTACACCTTACCGAAAGCACCTTCGCCGAGTAATCGCTCATCAGAGAAGTTGTTTGTGATCCTCCTCAAATACTCTAGTGGTAGACTGCATGGTCCTGAACTTCCATTAAGTATTATGCTCTCCAGCTGATCATATGTGCATGTGCTAGACTCGCCCTCCATTTTTTCCCACTAAACAATATTTTGACTACAGAAACATAATAGCAAACATTTTGGCCAACCACATGCTAGGGTGCATATATAGTGCCTTTGGTAAGTCGTGTTGTTATAACCTGTAAATAAATAATTTCCGCCAACAAGATAACTGTACAATGCAAAGAAAAAAACATGTGCCAACATACATATAAAAACTCAAAAGACAAATTATGCATTCGCCATAAGATACGATTTGCACAAAAGAGTGTTCAGTCTAAGATTATATCTCTCAGTGTTGCGAACCTTTTTAGATGTTGGTGTAAACAGGGAGAAAAAGAAAATAGATTGTTTTTAGTAATAGGGTCTTGAGCCTTCTGTTGGTCTATTTAGTTGATAAAAAACAAAAGTGTTGATTTTGACAATTCTATACAAAATTGTTTCTAGTAAACCTAAAAACTTTGTGTAGGCCTTACACTGAGGAACTTATTATTATAGCTCCATTTTAGAGTCAATTGCTACATTGTGATGACAAGAAAGAACACATCGTCTTTGCTTGGCACACATTGGAATCAGTAACAATGGCCTTCTTCATCTGGTGGCCTTATGTAATAAGGTGTCAAACACCTCGTCGATGCCTATCTTCCACGTCTCCACTCCGCTCAACTTATCCAGTGGTTCGCGCCTCATCGACTAGAACCAAGCGAATTGCTTTGCAATGGCCTCAAATTGGGTGGATAAACTCTCCAATGACGCCGCCATCTCCTTCTGAAATGGCATGGGTTTGCGAGACGACGCCAGAATCAACAGCAAAATCACCCGACAACAAACAAATTTTGGGGAAAAAATTGGGTGCTAAATTTGTGGTGGAATTGAGGCTTTAATATCAATTGTCATGGTCCCACTGGAGATCAGATAGGTTGAGGAGAGATTGAGCGCCGATGAGAAGAACAGAACAACTTTAGATAGGAAATGAGGTTCAAAGTTTCTGAGAATAGGGTTTAGAGTTTCAGAGAACATGATACAGAGTTTTAGAAGACATATAGAAGTTCTTGGTTCTCTCTTTACATTTTGTGTCTTCCCTTTCCCTCTCAAGTGCTATTTATATTCCTATTACACAGCTATCAATAACCCACGAGATACTGGTCCTTGGACCCAGTTGTCAGGTCGTTGCTACTCCTCTCGCCTCGCATCCCATATTGTCATACGCAACATGTAACACCCTAGGTGTTAAGCATGCATTTAGCATTGGCATTGCATGAGCACCAGCATCATTGATCATTCATGAGCATGAGCATCTCAAATTTTATCTCTATGATTACTTATATCACATGTGTTTGTCACTAAATGCTTCACATATGTTAGGGTTTACATGTGACCAATGTATAAAATGTTTGTGGGACCCTAGGAGTACTTTTAACATGCTTAGAATGTCATATGGAACAACTTTGGTATTCATGACTTGGACTCATTTGGCCTCTAAGTCATGGTTATAGTGTAAGCTATCATTTTTAAGTTGCATGTTTGACCTAAGTTGAACTATAGCATAGAGTGTTTGCATGGTAGTGCACCCTTAAGCAAAGTTGTAGTACTTGACTTGAGCAACAACTTTTATTTTTGGGTCAAAGTCTAATTCAATGCCTAGCATGCTCAAAAATAGCTCACAAGTAGCAAGAAATGGTGTTTTGGACTTGCTAAAAATTTTCTAAGTCCTAGTGTTGTTTATAATTTCAATGTACCTCACTTGGGAGCATTGTAACTGGCTAACCATTGAGCATTTGGGGATGCTTCTTAAAGCAAGTTTGTAGAATACATGTAGCTCTACAATTTATATTCAGAGAATTTTTGCTAACTCTAACTGGTTTGGGAGATACAGGTGATCAAAGTTGCACTGTCAGTCATGTCATCGGGGCCTGATGGCCGCGGACGCCACGCCGTCAGTGGCCGACCGGGGGCCAGCCAGGCGCGCCGTGTGGCGGTCGTACATCGGCGTCGGCTCGGCCAGTCAGGCCAGCGTGGAGGGATAAGTCGCGCGCCTCTGCTACTCGCTTCATTCACTCTCGCACCCTGCTCTTCCCTCGCCCACGCCATAGCAAAGCGAAGCACAGCGCCGCCGTGCCATCGCCATCGCTCCGCCATGCCCGCTCGCCGCCATCGCTGCACCACCGTCAAATCTAGCTCGCCAGCAGCTCCGCCATTGTCACCTCTTCCACCCCGACACGCTAGCCCCACTTGCCGAGCCTGGGTAAGGGTACATTTTGCCTCGCCGCCACCGCGCCATCACCGGAGCGCCGCCACGCTCGCGGCTCATCGTGGCCCGGCCATTCCACTGCCTCGCACGCCTCTGTCTCCTTTGGTCCAGCACCCGTTAGAGTCTTGTAGCTTAGGCCGAATCTAGGGGATGACGCCACCGCGTGTCGGTGCCGGAACGGGTCACCGCTCTGCACGTGGCCGCCAATGCCGTTGTGGCACTGGAGCTCGTCGCCGTCGAGCTAGTCGACCATACCCCTCCGTCCTCTCGCGTCTTCGGTAGGGTAAACCTAGGTCTAGTTAATGGCATGATGGAGACCTCTCTCCCACCGCCATCTCGCTAGAATGGTGAGAGCACCACCGTGCACCGAGCGCCGCCGTGGGGCCACGCACGTGGACCAAGCTCGCCGTCACATCACCGGAACCCTAGCCACCTAGGCTAGCTCCGATAGCTTACCGCGAAGCTATAGAGCACCTCATCGGAAAAATACTAAACTCGCAGTGGTCATAATTTGGGTATGGTCTTCTTATTTAATCTTAAATAAATGCTAGTTTCTAGTGAAAATAAAGGGGGCAAAAATACACAACTAATGATCATGCAAATTTTTACATAGTGTTATGGTACTAGGATGAAGCTAAGAAGAAAATAAAATCTGTTGCTTGACACCTTTCAATAGGGGTAACTATTTTCACTAAAATAAACCTTGATGGCTTGTCATTTTTGTAGAGGATGTTATACATGTTCAAATAGTATAAAATTTATACAGTATCCTATTGGGAGCACTTGGAAGCTACTGTAATTTTCTGAGAATTTACTATACATATTTGGTATATGTTTGTTATTTCACCTAATTATCTAATTAAATTAATAAAGGCATTTAAATAAATAAACTGAGCTTGACCATTATGTTTTCTAGAGTGTATTTGGGGTCTATGAACTGTTGGTACATTTTGCGATGTCCAATTTTGAATGCTTATATGCAGTAAAAATATTATTGCTCTATAATTCCATCATAGAGGTTGTTTTGGACAGATTCTGTCACTTGGTGAATTGCATTGCCAAGATGAGATGTTTTGTAAAAATAGTTAATAACAAAGTTGTAGAGAACTTCTTTATCTATCTTGTGTCAAAATTTCAGAGCAATAGGCCAAATAATTTAGGAGTTATGGCTGTTAGAAGTTGGTCTCCCGAAATGCTTACTCTCTGGAATTTCTGAACAGATCTGGGAAGTTTACCTATTTTGACTTGGATAGAGGTTGAATCAGCTTTTGGTGATTAAATCAAAATTGTAGGCAATTTTTTAAGCTTTCCAAAAAGTCCTTGATCACAGCATTTGGTTGAGTAAAACTCTAGTTTTGATATAAACTTGTAGCTACTGTATTGTGATCCAAAAATGGACTTAGTGTGGATTCTTGAAATTTCTAGAGAAGAGATATGCGCCTACTCAGTAAATAAGAATTCAACTTGTTATCATCTAAGTAACTTGATATAATCAACAGCATAGAATCATGCACGTTCTCATGTCATATCATTCAAAATTCTTCTTATGCATCCATGATACTTACTTTATGCATATGCATGCAATAGGTGCAGCGGAAGAAATCACGTTGGTGGAACTCGAAGCCGATCCACAAGAGGAGAACCAGGAAGCTAAGCACCAAGAAGCTCCAGGTGAAGGCGAGCCTGAAGTTGATCATCTCCTAGAGTGCTCTGACCACCAGCTGGCCATGTTTGTGAAAGACAAGCCCCGGAGCATTCTAAGTCTTCCATGTTTTACAAAATATTACTTGAGTCATTTATGTTTGATGCATTAGGTTATAAGAGTAGATTGGAACCACTTGCTGCATATATTTCCTTGTCTAGAAATATACCTTGAACCCTATGTAGGTCCAGGATCGAATGTATGCTTAGCAATGCTTAGACCGGTAGAAGTCAGGTGATTTCCTAACACTTGCGAGCTATAGGTGGTGTCTTGATCACGGTTGGCTATATTGTGCTATCGTGGAACATAACCTGGTGATGTTGAACAATTGGAGACCGGGTGGAATCTTATATGTTAGGTTGGTGACTTATAGTGATTCCATCCGTGTCATTTAAGGACCGGTCGTTGGAGGCCCTCTTGTCATGTTGAACGCATGCCTCTCACATAGTTGGCCGGATAATTCGTTCCGACCATGAAGCCGAATAGCTCAACTCAGGCCGGGGACACGAGCAGTTAAAGTGCATACCCTGGAGGCAGTAAGGATGTGCGGAGAGCCAATGGCGTGAGTCCAAGGGCGGGTTCGAGTCCCGAGCTTCCTGGTAGATTAGTAGTATCTTTGAGGGTGTGGCGTTGGTTTTATCTATGATTTGGACTTGAGTTGTACCAAAGGTGATCTGATGTGACCCCGATGGGGGGAGTATGGGTGTGTGTTAGGAATAATTCCACAGCTGGGTAGAAATCGATTTGAATCGCCGTCTATCCCAAATAGTGAGAACTTGACATGAGCCCCTTCATCGTAGTAACTGATGAAAGTGTTGGTTATGTGAATTATGGAAATGCTCAACTTGATATGGTTACTATTGTGATGATTTAATGGTACACAACATGTTTGGTATAGGATAGATGCTAATCTAGAATGGAACAGGAATAATAAACTGGTTATTCAAAAGTTAAAAGATACTTGATAAATATTGGCTTCTAGGCAAAGGATGTCAACCAGCTCCACTTATAAGCCTTGCATGATCCTTGGTGTCTCTTATTTTTGGTTTATGATGGGTAAGTCTAGCTGAGTACCTT